GACTTTGGTTCACTTACAAACACAGGTCTAAACCATACAATAGCCATATGAAACAATAGAAATGAATACAAAAATGATAATAATACAATATACAACAGTAAAAATTAATACAAACCTAATAATTATACAATATAAAACTGGATATCCGAAACCAAAAACTTGCTACCAAAATAAAAATGTTTAAATCTTTTCCTAAGTTTGGGTTCACTTATACTCTCTATAGGGAATAGAGAGGGAGAGAAAAAGTCAGAAATGGTTGGGGAAGGGGAGGGAATGCAAAAAAAAAAATGGGGGTTTTGCTACAACCTTAAACCTCCATAAGTCTCATTACCCATCGATATTTTTAGGGTCCATCAGAAGTCTCTCTCTATAGCCTGCTCAGGAGCTATTCTCACATCAGCCTCCAGGGCTAGACTGCATGCCCAGTTCAGGACCTGGGTCTATATAGATTTCATAGATTTCATAGACATTAGGGCTGGAAGGGACCACGGGGGATCTTCGTGTCCAGCCCTCTGTACCAGGGGCAGGAAGTCAGCTAGGGTCAAAGGATCCCAGCAAGATAAGCATCCAAATGTTTCTTTAAAAAGTCCAGAGTACGTGCTTGCACCGCCTCTGGAGGGAGTTTATTCCAGGCCTTGGGGGACTCAGCCAGTAAACAAGTTTGTCCTTATGTCCAGCATAAAAAGGTCTTGGAGGAGTTTGTGACCATTGGATCTTGTCATCCCTTGGGGTGCTCTGGTGAACAGGTGTTCCCCCAGATCCTGTTGCATACCCCTTATATACTTATAGGCAGCCACGAGGTTACCCTTGAGCCTGTGCTTTTCCAGCCTGAATAGTCCCATGGCTCTCAGACTGTCTTCATAAGACCTATTCTCTTGCCCTCTGATCATGAACGTGGCTCTCCTCTGTACCCTCTCAAGCTTCTCTACATCCTTCTTGAATTGTGGAGCCCAGAACTGGATGCAGTACTCTAGCTGTGATCTCACCATGGCTGAATATAGTGGGAGGATAACGCTAAGCCTGGCCCATTGTTGGTCAGGTGACTCTCTTAATTACTGCCTGAGCTTTCTTAGCATCCTTTCTTCCTCTTAAAGTAACAGGCATCCTAAGTGGCCTCCTGTTACAGGTTCTTTGGGCCTTTTATATAGCATCTTTGGTTTCATCTTGACAAACAAATTAATCATAACCACTAACATATAAATACTAGGCTTTTGTTTTCAAAGAATTTTGAATGTTGACAGAAGTGAGATTTTTCATGCAGTTGGCCCCTTGAAAGTGCTCCACAACCATCTTCTCCATAGACTGCCACCTGGATGAGGTGGAGAGACTTGTGTGTACTGAAGACCCTAAGAGCAACACAGTCAGGAGTCCTGCACTCCTGGTAGGGTCACCCATGGTGGTAAGGTAAAAGATGAAGTATCAGATGAAGAGAAGTCTGTAACAACACAAAGACCTCAATGGTGGAACAGACAAATGCAGAAGGCAGGTAGATAAAGGCTGTGGTTGAGGAGTAACCTGGGTTGTCCTGGATTCCCTTGCCACTGGACACATTTACCTCCACCAAGATCTGTGCAGTTGTCAATGCACAACAGTCTCCTCATGTAAAACAAGTCCTGGTCAGGCTTCTCCCATTGGTTCAACAACTACTATAATAACCAGTACCAATACCCATAACTTCTACAAAGTCCTGCAGTGATGGACCAGTGGCAACAGGGCCAAAGTGATTTCTGGGAGTCCCTAGTCATGGATCCACATACAGATGGTGATCATGTGATGGTTGCCTCACTCTTGATATGGAACAGGAGGGTGATTCAACAGCTGAAATTGTGATTAAACAGTTTTTTTTACGATCCACTCTGCTCACCCCACAGGGGAGGGGAATAGAAAAGGTGCCCCAAATATAGGCTGTCCCACTTTACCTTAATGAATGGGTAACCACTTCCAGGCAGATTACTTTGATTGTCTTTTTGCATCCTGGAATGTATGAACCCTATGAGATGACCAGGGCATGGTCACTGTGGTCACTTGGGGCACAAGTGGTGTATTAGGAGGTCTGCAAAATGTGACTGTGGCAACCCTGATCAAACTATGCACCATATAACAATACTTTGTCCTCTATACAAATTTGATGGTGACATTGCAGAGATATATTCCCTTTCCTCAAGAGCATTAGACTGGTTAATCTTAAACTGGACATATAATTGTTGCTCCAAGTCTGCCATATGAAAGAAAACGAGGAAAAGTAGATGACCCAAACAATGACAAACCTGACTTCAGAACAGCTATTGTCATGTGAGTACTCTTGCGATATAGCATTAATATTACTTCTGTCAGCAAGACCAGACATGCAGATGAAGGCCAGCTGAGGGACCATGGGAGTGACTGTTATTCTGGAAAGGGAAACCTGCAAGCAACAGGCAAATACATGGCATTGGATTCACCATTAAGAACTAGATTGTCTGCCAAATGACTGAATTACCTGTTGGCCTTAATGGCTCCTTGTGACTCTCTGCCTGCAACTGACCCACAATTCATTTGCTACCATTATCAGTGTATATGCCCCAACATTTGATTCCAAGGAACAACAGAACAGTTTTATACTGACCTTAATGAAATCCTGACTACCATCCCAAAAGGGGACAAGATCATCCTCCTTGGAAACTTCAATGTGAGAGTTGGCTGGGACTTTAATATGTGGAGGGGCACCATTGGGAAGGAAGGAGTGGGGAGGCCAATTCCAACAGCATTGTTGTACTCAGTAAATGTGCAGAGCATGATTACTATACTTAGTAGTGAGATCAATCATGTCCATCAGGGTTCCATTGAAACATCAAAAGCAACCCAAGTGAATCTGCAGACAGTACAATAAAAAATGCCTTCAGACCCCTAGACATCATAAAGTCCTCCAAACACATCTCAGTAAGAAACTCACCAATTTTAAGATTGAAAATGGTGTTTTCTGTGAAGCACCATGAGTTACAGAGGAGAGCTGCATGTCTGTCAGCACCCTTAGAGATGAGTTCTTAGAGATAAATTGTATTAGCTCCATTTCACAGGTGAGGAAAATTCGTCATAGAAACTTAAGAAAGTTTATAGAAACCTGGGTTTAGAATATGGATTCCTGGCTCCCAGTCCTACATGCAGATTATTAGAATTCTGTGCAAAAGATGTATAAAAGGATGTTTTATGAGATATGTAATAGGGCAATCTGTGGCAAACAGAGTTGCAATAACGCATAGCAAAGCTATAGTACATCTTAGGGCAGGGCTATTCAACTTGTGGGCAACTGGGGGCCACAGATATTGGGCGTTATAGTGATAATTGGCATTGAAAGGGTTACAGTATAAAATGTATGCGGTAGGGGTAAGCAGGCACCTGGTAAATTTGGAAGGGGGTGTGCAATAAGAAAATGGGAACCTCTATACTATGCTATTTTATGGATTAAGAAACCAACTGAGAGACTTGCCCAAATTAATTTCTCAAGTCATAAAAAGGAAGAGGCAAAACTGGGAACAAAGAAAGGAGTATTTAAAGCCAGTCTCTCACCCTAGCCAGTAGACTCCATTTTACCAGTTCCTCAGTTCAGTTTGCCATTCAGAATAGAATCACTCACTCACTCGTTTTAGCATTTGACAAAAAGTCAGATACATTTCTAAAATTCTGTATATCTTTCCATATTGTATCTGAATGATCAGGCGAGATGTCAGATTTCATTTTCTTTAAGAACCAAACACCTAGAAATAGACTCGTATGTCCTACACATTTTTAATTTTGTGAGATGTAAAATCCCAACATTGCCTAAAGAAACTTAAAACTGCATCTACTCTTTACTTTAAAAAGGCTTGCAATGCCAATGTTATCCAATGGTTTATAGCACATTTCTGTTGCTTGTCTAAATATTCAAGGCACTATTTGATTTGGGGCCCTTCAAATAATATAAATAATTTCAGATCTGGATGACAGGACCCCTCATAGACTATATCTTACAGGGCAAGCAGTGGAGGTGACGGTGTTAACAGCAATGAGACAAGTGATGATTATAACAGAGCAAGTGGCTGCAGGGCGAACGGCCAAGTAGCTGTGTCCTCAACTGGAAGTGGAGCAAGAACAATTCTGTTAGCACAGCTCTTTTTTACCACCCCCAGATTCTGTGGCACGTCCAGGGTCAAAATTCCTTTTAGGAGGGCTTCAGATACCTAAACCCAAAACTGTGATCAACAGACACATAGTCCCAGAGATTAAATGTTTTTGATGCTATGGATTCCCATAGGAAATCTCTGGGCTTATCTTGTGAATTGTGTAGATGTTTACATACCCTAACTGCACTTATGCTGCCAAACCCTTAAGAGGATTTCATGGTAACTTAGGGAGCTTCAGCATCCTGGTTGAGAATCATTGCTATCAGCTCTAGAGACAGCAGATCACAGCCATTCTTGTGCTTCCTGTTGACTAGTTCTAGATAGTTTTTTCTCTGCCTGTTAGGCAACTGCTCCAAAATTCAGAAATTCTGAAGCATAACTTGTAAGCACTTATTTTATCTGTCTGCCTTGACAGAAAGATTCCTGCTTTTAGGGCTCAGATGTCCTGAGCACTGTAAAGTCACAGTTTCAAAACCACTCTAGAGCTCTTCAGAAGCTCTGTGTTACCTTTTTTTTTCCATTTTCAAAGGATGGGACATCTGGTACCCAATTTACACACATAAATACAGACAAATATGTTTTGATAGCCTATTGCTCTTCTCAGGAAAAGGACAGTGACTTTATAAAAGCCTTTTATTAACTTTTCTTTTACCAAAATCCAGGGTGTCCCAAAGGCATAATGCCACAATATATTCAATACATCTACATAAATCAATAATATAAGGAGCAAAAATTTCCCAAATCCAGTGCTAAGTACAAGAATTTTAAAAGCCTGAGGCAGAACCAATCTAAGTTATACAATTTTCTCTAAGCAGCATAGTTAACTCCATAGTGTACAGAGCACACATTCAGCCTTTGGGGGGGGGCTGGACTCTTAGACCAGGTTCTACAATTTTTAAACCAGTCTGTGTATGTCAAAACTCTGTTTTGTTATGGATAGAGACTGGCTTCCAAATGCTTAAACTGGTAAAAGTATAATAATGACAGTGCCCAGCCCAGAAGTCTCCAATGCAGTCTATCAAGGTGCATGAGTTTTACTAATACTTTTAAAATGCATGAGGAAAACAGTTCGTAGTACACGCAGTCCTTGGACTTACAACGCAATTGGTTTTTGAAAACCGCTCTTAAGTCAAAACATTGTAGCTCAGAAATAATTTCCTCATAGGAAACAATGTTATAAATGGGGTATTGGTTCCTGAACCAAGACCCAATAACTTATTTTCACCAAAAATAACCCCAAATTTTGTTCCCAATCAATTATAGATGAGTATAATATAACTACATTAATGTATTTATATTGTAAGTAGTGATCCTATTGATTTGGAAGGACTTCTTTGAGGTGACTTTGCTGGACTTTTTGAAGGGTTCTTGGTTGGACTTTTTGAGGGGTACTTGGCTGGAGTCTTCTCAGGAGTCTTGGCTGTAGGTTCTTCTGGAGTCTTGTCTGGTTCTTAAAGAAAGTGTCCAAGGATTTTTGGACAGATGTTCTCCAGGGAGATGGGCGACACAGCAAACTTGTTCACTGGCACGGTGTAGCGTAGGATCAAGCGTTATAAAGTCAAAATTGACATCAGAAATTTGAAACGGTGTCAATTTATAAACGTTGTAAGTGCAAAATGTTATAAGTCAAGGACTGACTGTACATTAAACAGAATACCAGGAAAGGAAAAAAATATAACTCCTATTTCATGATATTATACCACCTAAATAAAATAATGTTGTGGCTGGTACCTGAAAAACTATCTTAGAATCAAGATTTCCATAAGTGAAATAAGCAGTACTCTTTTTTTTTTTATCTCTATCCAAAACAGTGTGTGAATTAATAATACAAAAAAGGACTTGTTCAGCTGAAAATAGTTATTAGCTAAAAACCCCCTTGTCTAAAAATAATTGTCATTTTCTGATAGTTGAATAAAACATTGAATGAAGCTATTAAGAACCTGAATTAATATTTCTGCCTTTTTTGTGTCTTTAGGTATTGTAAACATTCTGACATATAATAAATTTCAAACTTCAGTACTAAAAAATAAAAGCTGTAGGCGGTAACTTTTACAACTTTTTTCCAGTAATTCTCCTGTGACATCAGCTACTTTTAGGGAAAATGAATGTGTTAATTTATATTGTCACTCATAAGACCAGTTTCTCATACTATTTAGGAAGAGAGTTGTGACCCATACAGGAAATTGCTGCTGTTCAAATGCAGTGCAACCAACAACTAGAAAGATTGCCATGAAATATGTATATATGACATTATATATACCTATATATGTCAGGCTGTCATAGAACCCTTGTTATCTATTGTCTACAATTCTCTATCCTCTGTTTATGACTAAGCAACAAATACATTTTCAGTTAAGCATGAGGGGCAGAAGAATTTTCTATCTGTACTCTAACTAAATAGTATCTTATTTACTATTTACTTATGTTTACTTTTTATATTACTTATGTTTAAAATAAACCTTGAGGAAGTCTGGTCTTTGGAATAATTAAGAATCTCAACACTAACATAGCCCCTTTGTGATTAAGATTAAAAAAAAACTACTAAAAAAATTATATGTGCACACATACAAATGAAATCTTAATACTCAGCCTTTACAATTCTAAGTAGAGGGCTTCATAATATTGGTAAGATTGAGTTAGTTTTTCTCCCAGGTCTTTTTTCTTTAGTTTAACTGAAGCCACCATGGCCTTAAACTAAGGACAGCTCTAGCACAGTAGCTATTTGATTTTCTTAAAGTCCACACATTTATTACATGGAAAGGGTAAAACATGGAATTAATATCAAGACCTACTATTCAGTTTAGTAGTGATTATACCTAGAACTCACTGGTAATTTTCTCGGCATGTGCCCTCATTATCATGTTTAGACGAGACACTTTAATTGAGATTAGAGCAAATTACTGTCCAGTAAGCACCACCATCTACATGTGCAGATGCTTACTACGCAGTCATCTGCTCTAATCATGAGTAAATTTGTTACTCGTAATTACTGCACTGTATGGCATGTGTACACAGCTGATTGGGAGCAAATGTGCTCCCAGTCAGCCAGGCGGCAGGGGACAGAAGATTGCTTCCTGTCCCAAGGAGCTGCCTGCTAACAGGGTGGGCTCCACCACTGGAGCTCAGGTACAGACAATGATCAAGGGGAAGGGGCTGGGAGCTCCCTGCCCCTGGGAGCTGCTTGCTGCCAAGGTGGGCTTCAACGCTGGAGCTTGGGTGAGGACAATGTCCCCCTGCCCCAGAAGCAGGCAGGACACAGCTGCCTCCTGGCCCTGTGCTCCCTGTCAGACCCTTGGCTAACACCCAGGTAGGGCCTGGAGCTCACCCTGACTGCTGCAGAGGGCTAGCACAGAGCCAGCAGTGGTAGGAACAGACTGCTGCCATAAGCAGCAAATCTACTTCTGCTTCACTGCACACGTAGACACCTGTGTGGGGTGGGATTTGCACATGTAGACTCACCCATTGTCAACTTAGTGACCTTTTTCATAGCACCACTGGTGACTGTTGATATACTCTTAGCTAAACAAACTTTTAAAAATGAGCGCACATTTCAAAACTGCAGGAGATAATTAACAACATTAATGAGGCTGTTCATTGGATTTTGCAACTATATCTTTCACAGCAGGAGAGTCAGACTATTTGTGTGTTAGGGACGCTTACCCTTGACATTTCCTAATTACTTTTTGTGGGCTTTGTTGACTCACCTTAACCACCAAGGGACATTGACCTTGAAGCTGCCCGTGGAAACCAGTGTATGCCATCAGTTACAGAAAGGTTGCGAGACCTTGTCAGACCAAAATACCCTACTATTGACACTGATCATTTCATGTATAAGAGGTGTATTCCTGACTTCATTCATGGAAAAACACTAGTTTTTCATTGTCCTGTTTTGTTTTGGATACAGAATTAAACACAGTAAGGTAAATCTCTGTTAGGTCTCTTTAACTTTGCCACAGGTGCACCATCATATAGAATTATACCTTCAGGCTAAATTTAAATAAAATCATTACAGCTCACAATTTTAGATGTTTTCAACATCTTTTCATAATGGACAGCCTTAGGTAAAATTTGCTAAAGTACTGAGCTTTGACCTAGCTGTGCTTCTTTTTGAGGCAGTAAGAATTTGCCATTGACTACAAAAAACCCCACAGTTAAATCAATGGCAAGTGCTTCTGAAAGATGTAGCCCCATTGACTCTGAACTATTGGAAGTATGATTGCTTTAACTCAAGTATTGCCATCTAGTAAAAAAGGAAAAATAAATTGAAATGAAAAAAAAAACAAACCCAAACCCTCATACCTACACGTTTAGGTAAGACATACTTCCACAAAGGACAAGTGAATTCCTGACAAGAGTCTAAACACTCTTTAAGGCCTCAGTACCTCTCTTCTTCCCTTTTCTGTTTCTTTTTGCCTTCTTATAGATTTGATCTTTGAACCCACCTTCCATGTAATCTGCTACCAGTTCCTTCTTCTTATCACATTTTCACTGCTATAGAGCTCAACCCCAAGCCTACAGGCCAGCTTTGCCCCCTGTCTACTGGTCTGCAGGGCTCTCCATGATCCAGAAATTAGGCAGAGGAAAAGTGGTGGCACCACTCCCCTACTGCCAAATTTCCAGAGCCATTGGGAGCCCTGGACCCTGTGCACTGGTTTGGGTATCCAATCCTGGGTGGCCAACCCCTGGGGGGGAGACACCAGGCCCCAGGGCCCAGTCCCACACTTGGAGGCCAGGAAGGGGCAATGCCAAGAGCCCAGGATCCAATCTCAGCACGTTGGAGCAGGAGGGGGCAGTACTGTGCCCCCAGGGATGAATCCTGACATGTAAGAGCAGAAGGGGACAGTGGGTCAGGCCTCCAGGACCCAATCCTGGCATGTTGGAGTAGAAGGGGATGGTGCTGGGCACCAGGGCCCAAATCAGGAATGAGGGACTAAATCTAGCCCATGAACCTGTCCTGCTACACTCTTCTGGCCCACAAGGCCAAAAGGTTCAGCACTACTGCTACAGAAAATTATTTTATATTAGCTATTTGTTTACTTGTGATGTTTGAAAACCCTCCTTGTTCTCTAGGGAGTGCACTTATACTATCATTGAGTATACTACTGGCCCAGCTTTTAAAGAAACCGGTCACCTTAACTATTATGAATAATAATGTTGCTTCTAATATTAATCCTATTAATAATTTACATTCACGCATAACATTTCTCCAAAATAAATACAGTCAGATTTTTATTTTTCCATATTAGAAATTGCTTTATTATTCAGGCAACAAAATACCTTGCAGAAAAAGCCATGAAGGAAAGAAGCAGTTTTAATCCCAGGACATAGACATTTCCAGTTCAAAGATGATAACTGTTTTGTGCCTTTTTGGCATGGGAAGTGAGGATCAATGTGCTAGTATCCTGGAAACTGCTCTTTGATTTAACTGCTGTATGAAAATGTCTCGGGGTCATTGGGTGTTTGGTTTGTCCATGTTACGGTGGTGCAGAATGTTTACATACAGTGCTTGATTCTTGGTTGTTTTTAAGCTATGGTACAAACTCCAAATCTCTGAGAACAGGCACCACCAGCTAGGAATATTTCTATTACAACTACACACACATACATATATACATACATACATATACACATACATACTTATCTAAGGCTTCCCTTCTTTATCCAGGGATAAATCAGGGATTAGTATATTCATTCATGAGGCAGGAGGCACAGGTCCAATTCCCCTTCTACCTAATGAGATTTAACTTCCATCTCCCAGGAGAGTCCCTGAATCAATGGAGTAGAGGATATTCTGGTGCAGAATTGTTTTCAATCTCTTATGTTGACTCTGTTCCACTTAGGATAAATAATTAAAGCGTCACTGAACTCAAG